AAAGGGTGCTTCTACTAAATACTGAGCAAAGGGTCTGAATACTTATGACCATGTGATATTTCAGTTTTTCTTTTTTAATAAATCTGCAAAAATGTCAAACATTCTGTGTTTTTCTGTCAATATGGGGTGCTGTGTGTACATTAATGAGGAAAATAATGAGCTTAAATGATTTTAGCATATGGCTGCAATATAACAAAGAGTGAAAAATTTAAGGGGGCCTGAGTACTTTCCGTACCCACTGTATGTCTAACTGCAAAAACAACAAAAATAACTGTACAGTATTCTATAAAAATACACATTTAAAATCATTTCCTTTAATATGCAATAATAAATAAAAAGCCTTAACATGTAATTTATTTAATACATTCATAAAAACATAATAAATGAAATTGAAATATTAAAGTAAAAAAAGTATAACAGGTGCAGTGGTTGAAAATAAACAAGGTTCCAGAGGTAATATGTAATAGAACAGTATGTAGTTCATATTTAGATATTATATGTAGTAGTTGTGTAAGGATGTAAGGCTGAGCTAAGTGTGTAAGGAAGCTTGATCTGTTTCTTGCGCAGGCAAGAATATCTTGGGCTGTGTCCCCCTTGTTTAACCTATGGGTCAACATCCCGAGTGACTTCCTCCTTAGATGGGGAATGGATAGCTGCAGCCTTATGTGAACTGTTCGTGTGCTCTGTTCAGGTTTAAAAAAAGGAAATGTGCGCTAGGTCAATGCGACCTAGAAGTTCATGTACTGGACAGCTTAGACAATGCTCAGAAGAAGGTGTGTGTGGGTAGCTGGCATGGGACCGCGTCTTCATGGCTCAGGTCATGGAGGGCTGTGTAAGTGCGAGCAGATAAAAAGCTGGGTTAGAGCAGAAGAAGAGAAGAAGAGAGGATGACAATGCTACTGTGACAGGGAGAGTATACTTTGTGGGGAACCCAGCCGGCTGGGGGGATGCTGAATTAAGACTGACGGCTGAGTAAGACTGACTGGCGCTCTGACAATCTTCTTCTCTAATACTGTATCCATTCCATCTGTTCTCTGTTTCCCTAACTATCAGATTATCTGTTTAAATTACAGACATACAAGTCCTACAGCATTTAAAACAAGAACTCCAAAGACACTTATTTTGCTTGTTTGCTGTCGTCAGTGATATGTAAACCTTGCTACTGGAAAAGCTTCGACACCTGATTTCACAGCTCTGTGGTTCTTATGATTGTGCAGCATGTCATGTGTTACATGCCTTACAGGTAGTAACATGACTCAGGTCTGACCCTGGACATGCCGAAGAGACGAGACGTTGTCGCCATTGTGTTGATCGTGCTGCCTTGGACACTACTCATCACTGTGTGGCATCAGAGCACCATCACTCCTCTCCTTGCTATTCAAAAAGGTAAGGGCAAAACTGATCAAGACTGAATTTTTTTTCCAGTAATATTTCTTATAGTACAATACTATAATGGAGCTTGTGTTACTTGCAGTATGCATCTGTGTCAAGCTGTTTTATCTTGAGGGAGAAATGGCACATGCTGATGTAATGCCATGAGGCCAGGGTGTCAAGCACATAAGACTAGCTCTCATGTAGAACAACAGAATTTTAAGAAGAAACATGGACTTCAATATTCAGTGCTACTATAGCTGCTCCCCTCCATATTTGACAGCACACTGGTGCTCTTTATAATCATTTTTCCTCCTGACTAGATGACAGACGTGATGGTCGCTCCAGCTCCAGGAATACTTTTGCTTTCAAGGAGTCCTGTTCACTTCAGAATCGAGACATTGTGGAGGTGGTGCGCACTGAGTATGTCTACAGTCGGCCTCCACCCTGGTCCGACATCCTGCCCACTATCCACCTCATCACTCCCACCTATAGCCGGCCCGTGCAGAAGGCAGAGCTGACACGTCTGGCCAACACATTGCTCCACGTGCCCAACCTGCACTGGATCCTGGTGGAGGATTCCCAGAGGTCAGACGCCTCCTCCTGGAGACAGGACTCAACTACACCCACCTCAATGTGGAGACACCTAAGAACTACAAGGTACGTGGGGACACTAGGGACCCCAGAATACCACGTGGGACCATACAGAGGAACCTGGCTCTACGGTGGCTCCGGCAGACCTTCAGCGTAAATACCAGCCAACCTGGGATTGTCTATTTTGCAGATGATGACAACACATACAGTCTGGAGCTGTTTGAGGAGGTGAGCAGATATATTTCAAAGCAAAAACAAACTTGGCATAGAGCTGAATTACAGTTTAAGCATGCACTGTCCCCTCTTCCTCATCGTTTGACAGATTTCATTGGCTAAATTTCTTTAGCTAAATCTAGATTTGGGGGATTTATTGAATTTAAAACAACTCGCATGAGTGACTTGCATCTTTGTCTGTTTCCAACTACCAGATGCGTTACACCAAAAAGGTGTCAGTGTGGCCCGTGGCCTTTGTAGGTGGTCTTCGGTACGAGTCCCCTAAAGTGAACACCTTGGGCCAGGTGTACGGCTGGAAAACTGTATTTGACCCACACCGGCCCTTTGCCATTGACATGGCTGGGTTTGCAGTGAACCTGCGCCTCATTCTGTCTAAACCCCAGGCTTATTTCAAGTTACGTGGGGTGAAGGGAGGATATCAGGAGAGCAGTCTATTAAAGGAGCTGGTTACTCTCAGCGACTTGGAGCCTAAAGCTGCAAACTGCACTAAGGTAAGAAGAGAAGGCTCTCTACATGGTGACCAATAGGATCACAAACTGTTGAAGGTTGCACCCCTGTCCAGGGCGGAGCAGCCCAAGAAGATAAAATGTATTGTAAGAACTTAATTCGGGGTTCAGAGAATGGAATTCCTCCGGGAGCTCTGTCTCTCTGATCCCAGTGCTGTAAGGCCTACCTGTGATCAGACTTTCAGTAAACTTTTTGTTGATTTTAAACAGTCATCTCCTGTCTTCACTTTTCGTGCTTCCAACAAAAGAATTGGGTTAATTTCTAACAAATGGTGCTGTGACCCGGATGGAACGACTTCGAGCTAGTGTCCGACAGGGGACTGCGAAGTGAGATCGGTGGAGCCCTCTTCAGATAATCTGCTGGCATTCATAAAAACAGGTAAGCAGAATACCTTTTCTATAATGTAGAGAAATTCTGCACATTGGGAACTCTAAAACGCTGAATTGTCTGATTGAGGATGTTCCCCGATCGGTAAATTGTTTTAAAAGAGAAGTAAAGCATTTTATCTTTGTCTGAAGTCTGATTACATGTAAAGTCTTAACCACATAGCCTCACGTGAGGGGCGAGTTCATGTGTCCTAGCCATTAGATCATTCGGCCTCATAAAAGACATAAAATCCATCACATAATTGGATAACCACTGTGGGTTGTCTTCCAATTTTAATAGGACATTTGATACCATTTAATTCCAGGTTTTATAAAATAAAGCCTGAAGCTGGGAACGAGCCCCGTTGCTGTGGATGCGCACTGTTGCCACTAGAGTTAGCGAAGTCACTTTAAAAGTGAAGTTTGGTTAAAGTTAAATTATCAATGAGGACACAGGGACCCATTTGTTGTGTTCCATAATTGTTGTGGGGTAGTTTCCTACTTGAAAGAGATGTTCTACTGTCTTGAGAAACAGCGTATCAAGCAGCTTCCTGTTTGAGAATTCCTGTACTCATACAGCTCTCAAGTAGTTCTGTTTTGGGGGGCATTGGAATAGCAGTTTGGGATTATAAAGTTACAGTATTGCAAGTTTTGGTATCTAAAACAAGTGTTTTGACTGGGATACCCTCAACAGCCAAGCGTACAGAATCACAGAATCTCTGTGTAGAAGGTTCTTGACTGGGTCAGTCACATGGGCACTGCGCCATTCACTGAAATTTGGTTTGTCTAATTTTCTGCTATGGCACTAAATATATGTGAACAGTGGAAAGAGAGCAAATCCGATTCTTTGGGGTCGGTAGTGTATGTGGCGGCCATGAGATGGCTAAGGAAGGTTCTTAAGGAAGACGAAGGGAAAGAATTAGAAAGATTTACTTGTTGGGT